TATATTTTTTTTACAGACGACAGGTACATTGTACATGGTTAGTGGTTTACTGGTACCCATACAATTTCTTTTGTATTTCGGCCAACGACAGCCCTGAGTCGTACACCAGAGAGTCGTACAAGCCCAGGTGTATACATATATATGCGTCCTCGCCTTGTAACATGCTGTCAAAATCGAAAGCCCAGGTTTGTGTGACACCATGTCACATATGTACTCGCACGATCAGTACTGTACATAATACGAACTGTTAAAAAAAATTGCCTTTGGCTCGATTTTGGTGCGGGAGGGCCCGGGAATCTCTATTTTTTTCGCCTAACTACATGCTTTTGCATGGTACAACTATTCCCTCCAGTGGCTGGCAAGGCCACCAACAACGGTCTTGGTATAGACGACACGGGAAAATCCCCGACTTCAGTGACAGGAAGTGGGTGCTATTATGTGGTGCCAGCAGTTCCCGGTGAAATCATGGACACTTGACTGACTAACGGTAGCATTTTTAAATAGAAGTAGAAACCGGTTTGCGATTAAGGAAGTATACAGCCTGAGTGGTAACTGTTTGGCCAGTACAGTCTAAATTGCTCAAAACTGCTGTATCTAACTGTGTTGAAAGAGGAGAACCAGAACACATGGATATCTGTGTGATTTTTTCCATGGTGTGCCTGGAACATGGAACAGGACTTTCCATGATTCGTTTCAATCAATGTGAAGCATCTGTAACATTTTTTACTGATTTCAATTTGTTTCAAAGTATGCTAACATGCAAAGTACAGAAAAGCAACAACAACACATTACGCATACATGCATCCAGTAACGTCTGGCAACATGGGTACTTTCCCCTAGTCTTCATGCATACTCGGTATGTGTGTGTGTGTTTTTGTGTGTGTGTGTGTGTGTGTGTGTGTGTGTGTGTGTGTGTGTGTGTGTGTGTGTGTTCATGGGTGTGTACGCATGTGTGTCTGTGTTTTCTGTGCATGGGTGTGTACGCATGTGTGTCTGTGTTTTCTGTGCATGGGTTCGCACATGTGTGTGTATGCGAGTGTGCGTGTGTGTGTGTTGTGCGCACGTGTGTGTGTGTGCGTCTGTGTGTGTGTGCACGCGCGTGTGTACTCATGTGCTCGTGTGTTCACATCAACATTCTATCCCCATGATAATGTACAGCAAAGCAGAATCGTACTACTGTCACTTCTACAACAATGGTTTTCAACTACACTGATCAGAGATATGATATACCATGTAATACTGTGGGGTCATCAGCTATGAGTGTCACTTGGACATCCACTTTAGATCTTAAAACAAAGGTGGTGAACACAATGAATGGAACATCTCAAAATGGACTGTTGGAATACGTGAACTCTACTTTCAGCTTCATGGGAAATGATTCCAGTATAATGCTTACCAGAGATAACCCAGCTGGTGTGATGTTCAATGTGACATGCACTACAGCATACAAAGCCAATTTGAATTGTAGATTTGCAGTAGTCGGTCCAGTAGTAACCCAGCCCTCAAAGGATGTACTGGACCGGTGTGATGGAGCAGTCAAGCCTTTGTCAACAACATACGCCATCATCATTCAAGGTAAGATTCATAACCAGCAAAATCAACAGGCCAATGCAACTGGTTGTAGAGTCCTCTACTTGAGTTACTGAATCCATCTACAAACATTGTGGGTGCTAAGAATTCTAGCATTGCTATCATGATGTCCATTGAAATATTTTGAATAGTCAACAGACAACTATTCTACTGTCGTGGACATGGAAATCCGGTCACACGTCTAGCAGCCCCTGAGCGCTGGCCATGCAGCCGTGGGTAAGCAGTACACACACACGCTGCAGAGCGCTCGCCATGCAGCCGTGGGCAAGCAGTACACACACACGCTGCAGCGCGCTGGCCATGCAGCCGTGGGTAAGCAGTACACACACACGCTGCAGAGCGCTGGCCATGCAGCCGTGGGGAAGCAGTACACACACACATGGTGCAGAGTGCTGGCCATGCAGCCGTGGGCAAGCAGTACACACACACGCTGCAGAGCGCTGGCCATGCAGCCGTGGGTAAGCAATACACACACACGCTGCAGAGCGCTGGCCATGCAGCCGTGGGTAAGCAGTACACACACACATGCTGCAGAGCGCTGGCCATGCAGCCGTGGGCAAGCAGTACACACACACACACACACACGCACACACACACACACACACACACACACACACACATACACACACACACACACGCTGCAGAGCACTGGTCGCATCGGATCAACATGACAGTGCACTGCATGCAACTAACTACTTCTGTACCCGCTGAGAGAGGGCACCGGCCCTGGTCAATCGACTGAATTTCAATGTCCACGACAGTAGTTTGTTTGATAAAACTAGGGAAAAGCAGACTTCAGACATATTATTATTTCGATGGGGCCTTCCACATAGGGTTCCAAGAATATAATAAAAAACCACCATCGGGCAAAGTTATGGCCAAAAGAGACATTACCATCATTTAAGATTATCACTCTCCAGGAGACCCTCGCCAGTTTGTAAGACAATCCCGAGGGAGGACTTTTAGCCATTGGTGTTGGAAACATGGACGAGTCTCCTTTCTGGTTCGACTTACCAAGCAGCGACACGTACGACTTGCAGGGTTTCAAAACAATTCGCATGCATATCACTTGCCATGAGAACCTTCAGTTGTCTGTTGTACTGTTCGCTTTGGCCAATGGGACCAAGTTGATTCCGATGCTGATCATTCAGAATCTCAAGCATATCTGTAAAGGAAATTTACCGAAAGACTGTCATGTGGCAGTCTTGAAGCGTGACTAGTGACCTAATAATGTGAAGGATGGACAACGTGTGGCAGGGGTACTCCGGAAAGTATTTTCCTCAAGCCAGCTCTCCTTGTTTGCTACCAGCACTGGAGCGACACTTAGGCCGATACCGTTTCAGCTCTGAAGAGGCACCATGGCAACACAATCTATCTTTATTCCGGCTGGTGTGACTTCTTTGCTTCAACCCTGTGAAATTTAGAGGCCACATGCTTCGTACTGCTCTTTTTCTCTCCGAAACTCTACACTTGCAAGTCAGGTACGAAAGAGAGAAAGCGAAGTCCAAATGTCAACCCTGTAAGGGGCTTTCCGTAAATACCGATATTTATTTAGAAAAAAGGACACACTTCAGGCACATTACAAACATCTTGAAAGTTTTGTCTTCACAAGTATACTTTCAAGCCTTCTCGTCAGGTGAAATACAGGCAAGGGAAAAGGAACAGGAACAGTGGATTAAATACAGTAAGAAGGTGGTGAAACAGCGCAAAAAAAAGAAAGAAGATAGCTAAAGTAAACAGCGAAAATTGCAATAATGACACAAAGGTGGAAATGCGAGAAAACTCAATAAGCGTGACATGTAGTGCGACAACAAGAGACAACCACTGTTGCGCTGTTTTACCACCTTCTTACTGTATTTAATTCACTGTTCCTGTTCCTTTTCCCTGTTTGCCTGTATTTCACCTGACGAGAAGGCTTGAAAGTATACTTGTGAAGACAAAAACTTTCAAGATGTTTGTAATGAGCCTGAAGTGTGTCCTTTTTATGAGTATTATCGCATTTTTGTCTCAGAGGAAACTTATTATTTAGAAACTAGTCGTTTCTCTTCAACCCCCCCCCCCCCTTAATGACCGACCACATACAAGTGGTACATAGTATCGATATATTTGGTCTTTTTTCTGGACATGCTCATGCATGCAAAATGTACATCGATATTTTTCGAGAAACGAACAGGCGCTCAACCCCCCCCCCCCCCCCCCTAAACGAATAGTTTTCGTTTCTAAATAAATATCTTTATTTACGGATGGGCCCTAATGCTAAAGTAATTCCACCTCCACCAGTCCAGGCTGAAAGCTGCTGTTGCTTACCCTTTGGGAAACTGTGATGCTAGTTGGAACAAATTGCTGAAGAGGGAAGTGCGTGAATCGTGGAACCAAAGGCTTGTGCGAGGTGAGAAGGAATTCACCAGAACTGCCAAGCGAAAGCTAGCGCCTTATGATACAGTGGCAAAGTTGGTGGTGGATGCATGGGCAGACATTCCGGCGAGATGATAACCAAGTCCTTCGTGAAATGTGGATAGACTACTGATGAGTGTCCAGAACTACCACACTCGTCCCTGCAGAAACTCATCGATGACAAAGAAATGCCCGAGGAAGAAGTGGTCAGCGGACAGGAGAGTGAGTATAGCAGCGATAACTCTGACAGCGATAACTCTGACAGCAATATCGCTGACAGCAATATCTCTGACAGCGATATCTCTGACAGCGATATCTCTGACAGTGATGACTCTGACAGCGATAACTCTGACAGCGATAACTCTGACAGCGATAACTCTGACAGCGATATCTCTGACAGCGATATCTCTGCACACGGTGACGACAGTGGTACTCACTCTGAAGCTGAAAAATGCGGAACCTCTGACGAAGATGATTCCAGCGTGGCCAGTCCAGATAAAGTTCTGGTGCTCAGTGACAGAGAACTCTAATTTCGGGGTACTTCTGGTGACAGTGCTTCGATAGTGATCTCTCTTGTTGTTGATTGAAAGTGAGCGATACTCTTTTAAATGGTGAACCTATTGTGTGCAAGGTGGCATGCCGAAAATAGACTTGTGTGGTTGTGCCTTAGCGGTATGACATGTGACATGTGACACTGAAAGTGGAGATAGGTTCATGCAGAGAGAATCACCACTACAGTGGGTTCAATAAAAGAACTAAACTCAACCTTAACGCCACATGCAACATCCTCAACATTGAATTGCTTTCACTAATAACACCATGGCTTTATTACGTGAGGGTGACTTGTGTGACTTATATTCGGATATATCTCCATGGTTTTCTAAAGTGAGGATGGATATAACGCCCTTGGCTTTACATGTGTGGAAATACCGTTATACCGTTATACCCTTATACGGTATGTACAATTATATGTACCCTGGTGTAAATGTCACCAGCCTGTGTTTTCTGGCATCCTGTCTATATGCGTGGTCTTGGAGCTCTGCCAGTGTGTACTGCATTCCAGGCTTGGCTGGTTAGTATCAGAGCTTGGAGAGGAGTGAAAACTTCTGATATGTACATGTATACTTGTACATGTATACTAGTACATGTATACTAGTACATGTATACTAGTACATGTATACTAGTACATGTATACTAGTACATGTATACTAGTACATGTATACTAGTACATGTATACTAGTACATGTACATGTATACAAGTATACATGTACTAGTACACTTGTACTTACTTTCTACTTACTTGTAAAGTACTGTAAAGTGAGAAACTTTCGCTAGAGATTATATTATTTCGCTATTTTCGCGACCATCACACATTTGCGAATATGAATCGTCGCCCACTGCTCTGTACATTGACTGTAGACAGTACAAGATCCAAATGAAAAGATAAAATCGCAAAAGTTTCTCGCCGTGAACGAGCACAATTCTTGAAAACGCAAACTTTGCCCGCCGCAAAATTTATCGCTTTTCAGTAGTACATGTATATACCGTAAAGTACATTTAATTCGTCCCACCTCGCCACACCATACCTCGCCCCACCCCACCCCACCATACCCCACCCTACCCCACGCTGTGTTGCTTTCCACCTGGATTCTCGGCAGGTAGCAGGAGTTAAATAAGTCAAGACTGTCCACTGCTGTGCTATGTACAAGTTCATCAATAGTTTAGACTTGCCCTGGTGGATTGTGAACATGTTTTCATGCCCATGCATACCTACACTGGCAAGTGTCTATGTATTGCGTACAGCAGTACATGCATCCGTTCAATGCTACTTTCTGACGAGTACGCTATAGCTACTCCAAAGGCAGAATATCGAGAGTGGGCCATAATTTTGCGTTGGTAGGGGTGGGGAAACAGCACTAGAGTACTAAATCAACAGTACTTTACTACTCTGTATTGTACCAGATCTCTAACACTAAAGAGTACATTCTTGCCTTTGGCAGGATATTTGAACTCGCTCAGTTATCCCATGTAATGGTTTTGTATACCGTACGCATCTCAGTTTTCCTCGGAAGATGGGGGGATAAGGATTTGGCCATAGTATAATGTGCCATTGCCGGATAAGGATTTGGCCATGGTATAATGTGCCATAGCCGGATAAGGATTTGGCCATAGTATAATATGCCATTGCCGGATAAGGATTTGGCCATAGTATGATGTGCCATTGCCGGATAAGGATTTGGCCATGGTATAATATGCCATTGCCGGATAAGGATTTGGCCATAGTATAATATGCCATCGCCGGATAAGGATTTGGCCATAGTATGATGTGCCATTGCCGGATAAGGATTTGGCCATGGTATAATATGCCATTGCCGGATAAGGATTTGGCCATAGTATAATATGCCATCGCCGGATAAGGATTTGGCCATAGTATGATGTGCCATTGCCGGATAAGGATTTGGCCATAGTATGATGTGCCATTGCCGGATAAGGATTTGGCCATAGTATGATGTGCCATTGCCGGATAAGCAGGGCCTGCTCTAGACATTCAACACAGCCTGGTCAGAGTGTACCTGGCGCATGCAGGCCAGCCGGGTCAAACCAGGTCAGAACATCCGGCAGAAAAACAACCAAAAAGCCTGCTCAAAACGCAGGAAAATAGAAAAGCGAATTTATTACCGGAAATCGGAAATTTTAGAGAACAAGGCGAGCTATCAAAGTCCGCAATTAGTGCTAGTAGCAGGACGAACATGTTCACATAATAGAGCTCTGGCCCTGGGGGGGGGGGGGGGGGGGGGGGGGGTGCCTGCAGCACCCAGGAGCCGAGCAGCATGCCGATAATTCGAAGCAGTGAGTTCTTACCTTTCAACCACGCATCGCGACCAAATCCACCGCCGCTCGTCTTCCTTTGGAAATACGTCTTGCACAAAGCGAATGACATGGATAGACAGGCACGGTCGTAGTCCAGCCAGGGTCGACCTTTCTTCCAAGAGTCTTGATATATCTTTAATAATCTTTATTTCAGGATTCTTGGAAAGCGTGAGTTCTTTTTCTCTTCGCAGTGGGCTCCATCGTCCAAATCACCAGTCGGCTGAAAACTTGCAACTGTGTCAAAAGCTATAGCCAAAATTACGCTTTTGACTGCCTGCCCCATCGACTTGTAATGTCCTGACTTCCTGCTCGCCGCTGGCTGGTCGCGCTCGAACCAGTTGACCCCAGTTGACCCTACCAATGGAGCCGAGTTTCTGTCGCTTGTACTTGTAGACTGAGTCTGTAGTGTGTACGGTTGCGCTAGATTTGCAACAGATGGGGTCCGCGAGTCGTAAAATACCGGTATTTTAGGAATCCATTGTCAGTTTGAGACATTTTTCAGCCGGGTCAGACTGGACCCGGTGTTATAAGTTCAGCCAGGTCGTGCAGTTCCCCAGCCGGGCGTGTGACCCGGCTGACCCGGCTCTCCAGCAGGCCCTTATTAAGGATTTGGCCATAGTATAATGTGTGCCATTGCCGGATAAGGATTTGGCAATAGTATAATGTGCCATTGCCGGATAAGGATTTGGCCATAGTATGATGTGCCATTGCCGGATAAGGATTTGGCCATGGTATAATGTGCCATTGCCGGATAAGGATTTGGCCATAGTGTAATGTGCCATTGCCGGATACGGATTTGGCCATAGTATGATGTGCCATTGTCGGATAAGGATTTGGCCATAGTATGATGTGCCATTGCCGGATAAGGATTTGGCCATGGTATAATGTGCCATTGCCGGATAAGGATTTGGCCATAGTATAATGTGCCATTGCCGGATACGGATTTGGCCATAGTATGATGTGCCATTGCCAGATAAGGATTTGGCCATAGTATAATATGCCATTGCCGGATAAGGATTTGGCCATAGTATAATATGCCATTGCCGGATAAGGATTTGGCCATAGTATAATGTGCCATTGCCGGATAAGGATTTGGCCATAGTATAATGTGCCATTGCCGGACAAAGTAATCAGTAGAGCATGCATACCATGACTGTGCATGCGGCTTTAAGTTGATCTTGCTCTGTTCCTTGACATGGAGTGTGTGAGAGTTGCTCAGGCAGACAACCACAGAGCTCGACAACCAGTACTTGGTTTGGCGTGCCGTCATTCGGCACAGGCAACAATATCTAACAAAATAGAATGCCGAGAGTTTGGAACATGTAGGTGTTAAACTACTTTATAGAGTGAGACTAGATCGTCTGAGGTATCATGTTTGTGTGCAATAGGAAAGATGGGTTTGACCTGAGCATTGATTACAATACCAAGTATGTATAAACTGGTGGTGATGGGATTGGTCATAGGTAACTATTGAATGACAGTTGTCTTACATGACACAGCAGCCAACATAACATTTGTCTATTGGTTACTATAACTTATTTAATCAAGACGGTTAAATACACTTTTGAGATGTTAGAAACCAGGAGGGTGTGTGGAGCGGGAACAGGTACTATTCAAAAGAAGACTGCATGCATTGCTTTGGAAAGAATTTCTGTTCTGTTGGGTTGTGATGTCAATAGGGAATGAGTTGTAGAGGGTGAGGGAGCTGTTGATGGGGGAATATCGGTTCCCGTTTGTGCGTGCGAGTCTTGTGCAGTAGGTCCTTGTCTGTCGAAGGGTATAAGTTTGGTGATGACGTTGCGGTGCAATATGTGGTTGTTGCGGGTGTGGTGGGGAGGTGTGGTGGTGGATGTCTCATGCTAGTAGGGCTTGCTTAATAAGGAGTCGTGACCTAATGATTTGAAGCTGAGCATGGGGTAGGAGGGAACTGTGGTGAACGGCTGCAAAGAGGGGAAACCGAAGGCAGATGCGTATAGAATGGCGCTGAATTCTCTCCAGTGTATCCCACTGTTGCTGTGCCATATTCAAGAATGGGTCGGATGTAGGTTGTGTATATAATTAATAGGCTGCAAGCTTCCATTGTGCCACCTGTCCTGTGGAGTTGCAGTAGTGTTTTTTTGGCTCTGTTGATAGTGCCTATGTTGGTAGACCTGCAGCAGCAGAGTCACGTGTAGTGTGATATGAATGCTGTGGTAGGGTCGGACGGAAAGAACAACGGGTTAGGTGGTGTTGACGAGGAGATGACAATCCTTCAAACACCATCCTGGTAAGCGGCGCGTTGGAGGAATGCAGGAGATAGGTCCGTCGTGTAGTGTGTTGCAATGCGTGCCGTGTCATCGGCAAACTGACTGCATTTGGTGCGCAAGTCTGTACATGCTGGGGGGAGGTCGATCGTGTACACCAGGAACCCAAGACGCCCTAGGACAGAGCCCAGGGTACTCCAGCTGGAATGGATTCACACGACCACAAAGTGGAACCAGCCTTGACGCATTGACGGCGGCGAGTCGGGTAGCGTGTGAACAAGTTCAGGGCAATGCCACGGACACCAAGGTTCTTGAGTTTGGCCAGGATGTCAGCATGCCAGATACGGTCAAAAGCCTTTGACCAATCAAAGAAGCACGCCGACACTGCCTGACCGGCATCTCGGCCGGCAAAGATGTGGTGAACTAGGCGGGAGAGCTGAAGTTCAGTGCTGTGTTTAGATCGAAATCCAGATTGGTCGGCCAGGAGGTGGGGCTCAATGTGCGTTTAGAGGCGTTGGTGGATAATCCTCTCCCGAACTTTGCCAAGGAGTGAGATTATCCTGTAATTGGTGATCTCTGCAAGAGAGGCTTTCTTGTGCAGAGAACTGTCATGCTTAGTCATGATCATGACGCAGCTGATTCTACACTTTAACCTCCCAACTCTCCGCTCACACCACATCTGCTGCATCCCTACACGTAGCACTGATACCATGAGTGCCACAGCTATAAACTTGCACCATCATCCGGCATGAATTTTTTTACTCGGAAGTTTTGTATTGTATTGTTTATTACATTTATTTACGGATTCTGCCGAGGTAAATGTATGCCTATGATGGAAGTCTCTCCAAGCCAATAGAATAATGAAAATAGAAGTGTGCAGTGTATGGTAAGGGTGCAGTTTGCGTATAGTCATTTGAAGTTTTCAGATTTCTTTCGTTATGCAGTGATGGACACGCTCAAGCAGCACCGCCAACTCGAGCTGTATTCTTAGCACCCAAAGGGGCAGAGGGACAGAGTGAGACAATTCTGCTCTGGGATTTCAATGACAAAGCGAAGCCTCTGCAATGCTTCATCCCATGTGTTTGAAAATTCCTCTGATTAACGGTTTGTTTGTCCACAGTCGTGCATAATATACTGTCATAATGTACCTTCATGCTCAAGTCGATATAATAAAATTCTCATTCGTGTGATTAACATTTCAGGATCCTGTCCCCTGTTAGAATTCCGTCGTGGTTATGAATACAATACTACTTTGTCCAATGCCCCTGGAACTGTTCTTGGCATTTCATGTCGTGCCGGCTTTACTGTGGATCCAAGTACGAGTTCCATTGACACTGTAACATGTCAAGCTAATGGAATGTGGACAGCTCTTCCGAATTGTGCAGGTATGTATGTATGGTAATATCAAGGGCGTCGGAACCGCACCGGCCGCGGCGGCCATGGCCGACCCACTTTTTCGGCCATTTTTTTGGAGCACACTGCAACAAAGCGCGATGATAGCGCAAATGTGGCAAATCCTTGTCCCCGATCGTGGTTTGTTGCAGAATCAAAAGTCCATGTACACTGAAATGGCACCAAATACATGGGAATGCTTGCAATTGGCTTCAATTTTTGATTTTTTTCCCGCGGGAGGGTAATGTTTGTCCCCGATCGTAGCATCTTCTTGATTTTTGTGCAGAATCAAAAAGTCTTTCATTGTAGTTGCGGTACACTGAAATGGCATCAAATGCACGGAAATGTTTGCAATTGGCTTCAATTTTTGAACTTTTTCCCGGAGCGCGACCCACGAACCCCCCCCCCCCCCCCATGGCCGCCCCACCTCCAAAGTCGGTGCGACGCGCCTGAATATACATGTACTTTGTACCTCTGGAACACCGTCGGGTCTAGATTACCAACAAATACATGCAGACACACACACACACATACACACACACACCATGCACACACAAACACACACACACACACACACACACATACATGCACATACATACATGCACATACACACACACGTAGTAGAAGGCAATCCTTGTCACACACATACACACACACATAAACACACGCACACACACATAAACACACACACACATACACACTCACACACACACACGTACACACACACATACACACACCGACATACCATGTATATGGCCGTCACAAGAGAAGCACGCAAATCTGCAAATTCACTGGATGTGCACTCACATATTTTCTCTTTATAGCAACGATAGCGGATCTGATTCTGATTGAAACAGATCAAGACAAGCCCCAGATAACTGTCTAATCCACACAGCTGGCGAAGCCATGTGAATCGACCCCCCAATGCACACCTGGTCTACACCACACTGAGTACATCGGAATAGGACGGCCAAGACAGTTACTTATGTACACCCTACGCTTGCTGGGGTAACCAGAATAGAATGCGCTGCGCTGCGCACTAGTACTAGCTGTTGTTTGCCCTTGCTTTCTTTTTTATTTTTGCTGACCCTTACAGCTCTATCTTTTGTTTTTGGTGCGTGTTTCTGGCCGTGAGGCCGAGACCTCAGGTCGGCAGAGCCATCAATGCCCCACCATCACTGCTGCACCTCGGAGTAGCCCCTTCTCAGTAGTTGTCACGTTTGTCCTTGTCTCAGTACCATTGTCTTTCTGTATTATTTATGAGTTGGGTATGTGAACATAGTAAAATATAAATATAATAAAAGACACAAGAGAGAGTTTGGAAGCTTTGTCACAACTCCGAGTTTCACGTATCTCTACGATCATCAGACAACTGATGGATCCAAAACGGGCAGCCAGAACATAAGGGGGAGCAAGGTGGGAAATTCCGAGGGGTTTCATAGGCGACGCGTATCATAGCGCAAAAAAATGCTTTGATAGAAGCAGACACTAGATGCACTGGTACCTTGAAGTGAAATTGGAGTTACTTTACCAACCAGCCTCGGCTACTGAGTACTAGGAACCCAGAGCAAAGAGACATACCAACAACCTCAGCCATGAAAGCTGTTATAGTAACGACGCACTGGATTGTGGAGCCGAAACTAGTCCAACTTCCAAAAGCTTTGGCAAGAAAATAGCCTTCCAACAGGTTGGAACACACACACATGCACACACACACACACACACACACACAAACACACACACACACACACATATTGAACGCTGATGACGTCTTACAGACGTCATCGAAAAATTCGTGGGGGAGTGGTTTTTGATGCTGTCTGGCATGTAAAAACATTGTTAGTCAGTTGGGTCATGATCCCTGTCTCTTGTACGATGAGTCCCGGGTACAAATCCAGCTTTGGAACGCCATGCTTTTCTTTTCTTCTATTTTGAGCGATCTTTCAGTTTCAATTGTGTGCATTTAGCGTATTTCACACAATTTGAGCTAACCTGATTCGCAAATGATCTTTCTTTGAAAGCAGACTTTAACAAATGTTTATAATTTAGGAAATATCTCTAAGGAATTCAGCACTACTGGGCCTTGCCCTTATCCATTGCATTTACATTTTTACATGTAACTCCCAAAGACAGTGTCAAAAGCAAGATCAAAACTACAAATTTAATGAAATTCTGGCCATACCTGTTTTTAAAGGGGGGGGGGGTGAAAAAACCAGGTTAAGCAGGTTCCAAATCGAAGGAGCCCCAGCCAATACAGAGGCATCCGACATGGTACGGTTATTACGGTATTGACCGTATCACAATTTGTCACGGGCATTGTAGCTCAACCATGTGAATCAATAAAGGGCGCTGATTTGGGTTCTAAATTTCGAAAATATTCAGAGGAACCACCCAACTTCACGAGTAAATCGTACTTCAGGTGACTGACCGTACCACACTGAAATCCTTTCTGATGCCCCTGCATTGGTCCTGCAATAAGAAGCTAGCACTAATGTTGTACCAATCCTCACCTTACTTAAGCTCTCCATCCAAGTTCATTCATCACCTTACTCTTCTAAAGTTTTCTTCAAAATTGTTAAGGGCCTTGAAGGGGAGACAAGCATGAACAAAAGAATGCTTGAGAATTGGCAGGGAACCAAATGGTTGTCACTTCAAAGGTGACAAAACAGAGAACAGAGCCAGAGAATAGAATACTATCACAACACATGTCCAAGAAAAGTATCAAATGTGGAAATTTTCAAGTTCAGATGTGTGTATATGGCATTATGCAAGTGCAATGTGTGTGCCTGTATTTCTGTGGTTCATCTTTTCAGATATTGATGAATGCTCACCTAGTCCATGTCCTGTCAGTGCAACATGTCAAAATCTGGAGAATAGATTTGACTGTGGATGCCTTCCTGGATATTCTTATCACCGAGATACGAATGAATGTCAAAGTATGTACTGGTAGACTGGGGTACTTGAAATATGATGGCCATGATCTTCTAATTGCAAACGACAGCACAAGCCGTCTCTTTAATAGTGCCCCCCCCCCAAGCGCATGTGCAAGTTTCGTGTTCTCCTGGTGATGCTCTTGTCCTTGTCATTGAACTGGTGGTTTCGCAGTTCTTGTTGCTGTTTCTGTGGAGTCGTGATAATTTTACAGTGAACCTTAAGCTCTGTTTTCTTTGCCTGAATTGTTTTATGCGGTATGATGTAAAATGTACTCACATTGAAAAAAATAGTGGACTCTTTTGAATAATAACCCATCTGTGAATGACATTGAATTACTTCCTCCGCTAACAAGAACTTCGTGATGGATTTGGATAGATATGAAAACGTTTAGAACAGAGCAAGAACAGTTTGTATCGACTGTAAATCACTGGACGAAGGTAGTTCATCCCATGTACTGCGTCTTTACAAGAAAACCTGTTGGCAGAATGAGCAGAGAGTTCAGTTTGCTCCGCTTTAACTCGGTTTGTTTGTGACCCTGTGTCTCTGTCGTCATCTGATGCACGCGAGTCGTGATCTCTCTTGAGTCGATGTTCAGCTAGTTTCAGCCTTTCCTTGGCTTCTTTGCTCACACTCCGCTGAACTTTGGTGAAGTTGCTGTCATTCAAGTTGGCTTTCAAGCTGCTTGATCCGCTGCGGTGCTGATTACTCATTTCCGCCTGAGAGCCGCAAAAAAATTCGACTCCTGGTTTCATCTCCACTCTCTAGAGCTCCACGAAATGCGGGAGTAAAGGCCCAGCCAAACTGATTCCAGCACCGAACGACAGTGGCTAGTAAGTCCAGTCGACTTTCCACGAGACTCGCATCGGACCGCATATTTCTGAAAGAATGCATGGTCATTAGCATTCAAATCTGGGCTTTGCGCAGGTTGAACAAGAACTTGAATTCAGAATTATTTCATTGCGCCGTGCTATCGGAGCAGCTGCTTGTTCGCTCGCTCATTGTGTAGACTCGCTGCTCCGTTCCATCACTCTCTATCATTCTCGAACTCAGTGCTAGAGTAGTAGAGAGGCCAAGCGTGCAGCGCATTATCCCTTCGGAGAAGTGTTACTTCAGTTTCGCTCACCATGACTGCCATCCCCTTTGTTGCCACAGCGCAACCTTCGATTCCAATCGGCTTGTCGTGAAAGTGATTGCTACTCATCTCATGGCAGTTTGTGCACAAACCAGTCGCTGAGAAATCCATCACGAAGTTTTGTTAACGGAGGAGGTACAGTAGGTGTGATTTATTTTTTTGAAAATGTGCACAAAAAGTGCAAGAAACAAGTGCTTGATAACTAAGAGATGTAGCCTTCTGACTGCCTCAACATATTGCACATATCATGAGTAGCCTCTACTCTTATTCTTTTGTTCCTAAATACCCCGTTTTTTTCCTTTGGCAGATATCAATGAATGCTTGACTGTGTGCAAAGACGAGGGTACCAGTTGCACTGACACAGTTGGAAGTTACAAATGTGAATGCAAAACGGGATTTGATGGAGTTGCACCTTTTTGCACTGGTTAGTATGCTGTTAACATGTTTCCATTACAAGACCGCCAGAAACAGTTTGGCTCCGCTGCTCTGTTGTGAGAAGCAGTGATCCCTCGTTCAATGTGTACTTTACTCCAATTTTGACTTTTTCTCAATTAATATCTCGGGTATAGAGAGTCTCTGGACCAAACTGTCGAAGGCAGCGAATGAAATCCATCAGCGGATCAAAGGAGCCAACATTGAGTTAAATGGAATATTTCGCCATGTCCCTTGATTTCATCATCATAGATATTGACACCTATAATATTATATCACTTTAGTCTGAACTCGTCCTACAAGACCTCAGTCAAAATAATAGTTGACAAGGTAGGGGTCACAGCAACAAAGCCAAAAATTAAGAAATAATTTAAGTTGAAAGGAAAAGGACATACGGACACGAGTTAAGAGTAACTCTCCATCACTGTAACTTTGACTTTCGGCTTGTGCAATTCACTTTCGCAAAGCTTCCCCCTTCTTTACTTATCTTTGATATTTATGACCCACCCAAGTTGGGTGGCGTGCTGCTTTGCTGCTTTGAATTGTAGTTAGACCGCTTTGTCAAGTATCCTACTGGTCTCGTCATCGTCCAGTAACAATCGACATTCTTTGTTCCGTTGGGACTGTAGCTTGTGCTCGTTTTCGTTGCGCTGACCTTCCCCTCTTTGGTATTTCCATAATCTTGAATATTCTGAGTTGCAAGGCTGTCGGTTGACGCTACGGAGATGTGTTGAAGCTAGGTGTCAGGACGTCGAATGTCTCAGTACTCTGTCAGTTGGGTGCCTAGTTGTTGCACTTTCTGACTGTATATGGTGGCTGGTTACAGTGATGGAGAGTTACTCTTAACTCGTATCCGTATGTCCTTTTCCTTTCTACTTATATTATTGGCTCAACATCCGAGTTTTTCATAACGTTTTCTCGTGACTTTCATCAGTGGAACGCCGTCAAATAAAAATAGGGCTTGTGATTCTAAACTGCCATAGTGGGTGAATAGTGGGTGAATAGTGGGTGAATGAGGTTCATCCAGGGATAAAAGTCGAAAATTTGGCCATGGCGGGTGATGTTTGGTTTTTACAGACATTGACTCTTAAATGTTCAAAACTTCTGCATGACCGGGTATCCTCTAAAATAGCGATCGGATAACCGGTTATAACCGGTTATTGGATTCCAGCACATGCACATGACCAATCCCACCACCCTATATTTTTTATCAAACACAATAATTTTGAGGCCTGTATGTTAACATTGAAACCAGGCTTCCTCAACTTCAAGCTGAATTGTTGTGATGAAGATGGTTTCGTCTTCAGTGCTGAGCCGAAATTCTACAATTTCCTCACCACTGAATCTACAACATGTTACACTACACCTTTCTCCTAATCAAAAGCTGCAACGGGTGGGAGTTTTCTGCTGTCCTGCTATACCGTAAAGTCTTGTATAAAAGCCGCACTTGAATAGAAGCCGCCCTCGAATAGAAGCCGCAGTTTTGGGCCCATCAAATCACAGATAAGCCTGGTTTTAGTGTTGACATACATAGAAATACCTGTCTAGTATAGAAGCCTGTCTCACATAGAAGCCTGCAAAATTTCATCAAGAAAGTCATAGAAGCCGCGGCATTTATACAAGACTTTACGGTATTTAGGATCTGAAAGACGAGGAGATATTAGATATGATTTCTAAGGACAATATGCAAGAAACAAGTGCATGGTAACCAAGAGATGTAGCCTTCTGACAGCCTCAACACACTGCACATATCATGAGTATAGCCTCTTACCTTTCCTTCTTGGTTTCCTAAAATACCCCATGTTTTTTTCCTTTGGCAGATATCGATGAATGCTTGACTCTGTGCAAAGACAAGAGTACCAGTTGCACTGACACAGTTGGGAGTTACAAATGTGAATGCCAAACGGGATATAATGGAACTGCACCGTTTTGCACTGGTTAGTACACTGGTTAGCAGTTTGGCTCCGCTGCTCTGTTCTGAGAAGCAGTGATCCCTCGTTCAATGTGTATTTTACTCCAATTTTGACTTTTTCCAACTATCCCCAATATTGAGAGTCTCTGGACCAAACTGTCATGGGCAGTAAATGAGATTCACCAGGGGAATCAGCTTTGAGCAAAATGGAATATTCGCTATGTTCCTTGATTTGGGTCATTACAGGTATTGACTCCTGCTAAATTAAAACAGTTCAGTCTGAACTCCTCCAGCCTGTTGGGAATGGGAATAATAGTTGAGAAAGTAGTACTTGTACTTATCCCGGGCGGAAGCAGGGTCATAATTGGACTAGTGCAAAACAATTCAGTCTGAACTCCTGCTGCCTGTTGTGAATGGGAATAATAGTTGAGAAAGTAGTACTTGTACGTGTGACTGGTCGATTGACCCATGTGTGTTAATCTTTTCCTCTTATAGATATCGATGAGTGTAACACCATGTGTAATGGTTCATCATCACAATGCAACAACACTTTAGGAAGCTTTTTATGCACCTGTGATCCTGGATTTACTAGCGATGGATTTAATTGCACAGGTTAGCAATTAGCCTACGTATAGTGTGTGTCGGTATGTGTGTGTGTGTGTGTGTGTTTGTGTCGGTGTGTGTGTGTGTGTGTGTTTGTGAGTTTGTGTGTTGGTGTGTGTGTGTGTGTGTGTGTGTGTGTGTGTGTGTGTGTGTGTCGGTGTGTGGTGGTGGTGGTGGTGTGTGTGTGTGTGTGTGTGTGTGTCGGTGTGTGTGTGTGTGTGTGTCGGTGTGTGTGTGTGTTTGTGTGTCGGTGTGTGTGTCGGTGTGTGTGTGTGTGGTGGTGGTGGTGGTTGTGTTTATTTGAATTCGCAAACCGAACGGGCTGAACATGTCCAATGACAAGGAAGCGAATGAAGTCCAAGTAACCCAGAAATGGGGACACAGATGAAAAGAAAATATGGGAACAGAAGGCTCTCAGCAAAGGAAGAAGAGAAGAGAAGGAAAGAAAAAGAAGAAAGGCGAAAAAGAAGAAAAATCGTGGTCATGCGAGAAGAAAGCTTCTAGCAAAAAGAGAAAGGAAAGGATAAAGGAGAAAAGGGGGAGACACATCGTGGTCACGGCCAAAGCCGGAATAGCGGCAAGACAGAGTAGACATAACAACAACAGGAACAAGCACGCATGAAGTATGGGCCATGCCGGCCCAGAAGCGGGAGACACCGACAGGAAGAGAGAAGAGATGAGAAGAGAGAGAAATCGAAGCATTGCACATCTACACCCACACATCCACACACACACACACACACACACACACACACACACACACACACACACACACACACACACACACACACACACACACACTCACTCACTCACACACACACACACACACACACACACACACACACACACCTTCCTTCCTTCTTCCACTGCCATGACTGGCTATGTGGCCCCATACGGGGCAGACCAGGAGAGGTGTTGCCCACCGGGCGAGGAACGCCATACTCAGCGCACGCGGGCCGCGCGAACAGCGTTACACTTGTGCCTCGCAATATCATGCGGCCGACGAAAACTGCGCGCACAAGTGCCACAGATGAGGTGCTTCGCCACAGGCTCCATGCGGGACTGGACAATAGCGTCGACAGCATCACGGCAGGTGACCCGCCATCCCTGTCGATCTTGGACGATGTCACCAAGCTGCTCCAGAGCCAACAGCCATCAAGTCGCACTTCGCGAAGTCCTTCCAGCGCTTAGGGGGTCCATGCGGTGGACGTTTGGAGGGTAATGCGCCGTACAGCAGCTGACGAGGGATCCGATCTTGCATGCGGGACACGTGGACACACTCACACACACACAGACAGATACACACACACACACACACACACACACACACTCACACACACACACGTACACACACACACATGTACATTGACAGCCACACATGCAATTGCTTTGCAATATTCTGTGTGTGTGTGTGTGTGTGTGTGTGTGTGTGTGTGTGTGTGTGTGTGTGTGTGTGCTCGCGCCCACACGCTCAAGCGTATGTGTGTGCGTGATTCCGGCCCCTGGATAGTTTCCACCAAAAAATGTACATGTAGTATCCTGTGTGTTTCGTGAAAACAACGGCAGGGTGGAAAATGTTACGAGTGAGCGCCGTTGAGAAACGTGAATGATCCATCGATAGTGTCCTAACGGCTTCGGAAGCAGTGGCTTGGATGGCTTGGCCATGTGTCACGCATGCCAGATGTTCGTGTGCCCAAGCAGCTTTTGCTTTGCTTTTTACCATGGCCTTGGCCTATGTGTGGTCCCCGTCTCTGCTGGAAGAATGTGATTTTGTCTGATCTTCTGCACATTGGCATTGCACATCTGGCCTGGTAGGAGATCGTTCAGGATCTTTCTGCTTGTCAAGCACCCGTAATTGTCGAGTATATCGTGCGCGACAAAGAAACGGTGAAACTCAGACTTCTGATTATCACCATCTTCATCCAGCTCCTCCGTCCCGACTCTGCCGTCGTCGCCAATCTCATCATGACCGTCCGCATCACCTCCTGTCCATCTCATCATTCAATTCATCGTCTTATTCCTTGTTGATTCTCTCTGTTTTTCCTTGTTACTCCATTGTTCATTTGACTCTGCCTTTTGACTCCTCCTTTGAACAGTACGTTTGGTCTCTCCCACAGGATCAGCGAAGGTCACTTTAGTTCCATATTAGAGAGGTTCCGGGGAACGATTTTCCGTGCCAAAATCCGTATGGGCGCTACGGATTTTTCGAGGCATGCTCCATACAATTTTTTGGCACAGAGAATCCGTGCGGACTGGCTTTCATATGAACCATGTTTCGTATGGAGATTTTGCGTCATCGGGTGCAGAAAGATTTTTCGAGTACAAATTTGGTACGAGAAACATCGATTTTCCGCGGGAGGTTTTAATTTTGGTACTAAATGTTCAAAATAACAAGGCATAGCGCTGGAATGTGGTGTGTTTGCGATCGTAACATAGGCAATGATGGCAAACACACAAGTTAAGTACTCCGGAACATTTCACTGCTCGATAACGACTT